ACTTTTTTTTGAGAGAGATTTTCACTAAAGGGCGCGTGCGCTCCCCAGACAGACAGAGAGAGTCATAGAGACAGAAAGCGAGAAATCACCTCCCAGGGGGGATGGTCACGCCGCAATCCCTTCTCCTCCATTCTCCTCTCGGGATCTTGGGCACGCACGCACACGCGCCCGGCGTGAATTTTAAGCCACCGGGTCCGGGACACGAACCGCGGTCGACTACGTGGGAGTCCAGCAACATAGCCATTACGCTAACTGCTGGTTCCCTTAAATAAATAATTCTTCAAAAACAGTGGGGGGGAGACATTATTAGAAAAATTTAGAATTCAGAATCTGTATGTCTTGGTGACTAGTTGCATGCAGTGAGAGGGAAAGAAGAAATCCCCCAGGACTTTGGCCTGGGAGGCCAGAGCTGTCTGGAGGTGATGTCAAGTGAACAGTGCTATGGAGGAGGAATGGCGAGTTTTAAGGTGGGAGAAGGCAATTAAGTTCAGTTTGCATTAAAAAAAAAATACTCCAGCAATGCCTCTACGTCCTCCAGAATAATGTCTAGGTTTCATGGCTTAAGTTCAGGCCCTTTGCGGTGCCTCCTAACCATTAGTTCCAGATTTGTCTCACAGCCCAAACCATGCTCTCCCATGCCGAACACAACTTATACATTCTCTGACACCAGGCCTGTACTCTGCTTGCTCTCTCTTCTTTGTGCAACACTCTAATTTTTCTATAAAAATCCTACCAATCTTCTAGGCAAAGATTTTTTTTTTTTTGGAGAGGTTTTTGCTATAGGGCGCGTGCGCTCGCCAGACAGACAGAGACAGACAGAGCGACAGAAAGCGAGAAATCACCCCCCAGGGGGATGGCCACACCGTAATCCCTTCTCCTCCATTCTCCTCTCGGGATCTTGGGCACGCACGCACACGCATCCGGCGTGGGTTTTAAGCCACCGGATCCGGGACTCGAACCGCAGTCGACTACGTGGGAGTCCAGCGATATAGCCACTACGCTAACTGCTGGTCCCCAGGTAAAGATTTTTTTAAAGAGATTTTTGCTATAGGATGCATGCACTTGCTGGAAAGACAGAAAGTGAGAAATTACCCCCACCTTGGGGGAGGCCACACCACAATCCAATCCCTTTTCCTCTATCCTCCTCTTGGGATTTTGAGCACGCACGCACAAGCGTCCAGCATGAGTTTTAAGCCTGTGTCTGGTACTTGAACCGTGGCTGACTATGTGAGAGTCCCGTGACATAACCATTACACCATCTGCTGGTCCCCTAGGCAAAGATTTTTTAAATTCAATGCAAGCAGCACCAACCGTACAAGAAAACACTGACACTGTACATTAGAATTAAGAATTTTAGTTTCAAAAGACATCAGTAAGAGACAAGCCACACCTCAGAAATTTGCAAAGCATATATCAGACAAAAAACTCCAGATCCAGGGTATGTGAAGAACTACAAAACCAGTAAGACAAACAGCTCAATTTTTTAAAAGTGGGCAAAAGACTCGAATAGACACATCACAAAAAAGAACATTCTAATAGCCAATAAGGATGCTCAACATCTGGGACCAGCAGTTGGCGTAATGGCCATGTCGCTGGACTCCCATGTAGTCGACCGTGGTTCGCAGCCCAGACCCGGTGGCTTAAAACTCACGCCGGGAACATGTGTGTGCATACCCAAGATCCTGAGAGGAGAATGGAGGAGAAGGGATTGCGGCGTGGCCATCCCCCCTGGGGGGTGATTTCTCGCTTTCTGTCTCTCTGTCTCTCTCTCTGTCTGGCGAGCACACATGCCCTATAGCAAAAATCTCCCCCCCCCAAAAAAATGTTCAACATCAGAAAAAAAAGTAAATAAATACCTTAATGAGATACCACATGTGACCAGAATGCCTAAAGTTAAAAAGACTGAACACAGACACCCTGTGCTGTCCAGTATCCGAGACAACTAGAACTCGCTAACATTGCTGAGGAAGGCCTAAGTTGGTACAATCACTTTGGGAAACTGACAATACCTACTCTCATTGATCATATGCATACCCTACAAGCCAGCAAGTTCATTCCTAGAATGTATGCACATGCCCACCAAAGGAAATGTGAGAATGCTCATTGCAGCTTTTTAATAATAGTTAAAAAAAAAAAAAACAGGGCCAGCAGGTGGCGTTGTGGTTAAAGCACTGGACTTCCACATAACCAACTGCTGTTCCAGTCCTGGACCAGGTGGCTTGAAACACGCTAGGTATGTATGTGTGCATGCCCAAATTCCCTAGAGGAAAATAGACAAGAGACAAAGGCACAGCCACCCTCCCTGGAAGGTGATTTCTCACTTTCACTCTCTCTCCATCTCTGTCTTTCTGGCAAGGGCATATGCCCTATAGCAAAAATCTCTCAAAAAATAAACAAAACTCAAAAAAAAGGTAGTATCAACAGAATAGATAAGTTGTGGTTATAAACTGTACATACAATGGAATACTACTCAGCAACTAAAAAAAAAAAAAAAAGCTACACACAACGTGGATGAATCTCCCCAAAATACTGAAGAATGTAAAAGGCCAGACATACTGTACTTCCTGTTGGGTGGTGACAGAGGTGTATACATCTGTGAAAATTGTTCCCTTCCTGTATGTTATACCTTACTAACAAAAAAGTTTTAGGTAAAAAATTTCAAGTTTGGAGGACCAGCAGTTGGCCTAATAGCTATGTCTCTGGACTCCCATGTAGTCAACTGAGGTTCGAGTTCTAGACCCCAAGGCTTAAACTCACACCGGGCGTGTGTGCATGTGTGCCCAAGATCCCGAGAGGAGAATGGAGAAGGGATTGCGGCATGGCCATATCCCCCCTGAGCGATGATTTCTTGCTTTCTGTCTCTCTGTCTTTCTCTGTCTTTCTGGTGAGCAAAAGCACCCTATAGCCAAAAATAAATAAATAAATTAAATTTAAAAAATTTTTCAAGTGTATTTATGTTTTCTAAAAGAGACAGCGCCCATAACAATTTTCACACAGTGATTTACCCCTAGCCTCAGCCAGCCCCTGATCATGAGTATACACATGCCCCAGATACTTAGGGAAATTTCTGGACATGAACCTGGAATCTTCCCATATGGGTTAGTCCCTCAGAGCATCATGTTTTACTGCTGTGCCACTGAAAGGCCTGAGATAAAACATTTTTAACATGCAAAGAAATCCTACCCACCCTTCAAATTCAAATGCCACCTCCTCTATAAAGTTTTGACAGCTGGAATAAATCTATCAGGGCCTCTATAGCATTCTGACGTCATACCTTTATGTCATTTATCCCACTCCATCTTGAATCTCAGTGGAGTCTCTTTATTTCTCTAAATAGATAGTGGTGACCACATCTCTTGCCTTTTACCCACTTGGTGCCTGATAAATAACAGAAACTGAAACATGTTTGTTGAATTACTTGGAAGGAAAAATTGGGTGGGTGCCCAGATGGGTGAAAGAGGGGACAGGAAGAGGAAGGCAGGCCTAGGAAAGGACATAGGAGGTCCCTGAGGAAACAGTGGCTTAAACTACCATTTTACCTACTTCCTGAAATCACATTAAATGTCACCTTGAGAGGCAAAGAAAGAACAAAACACCAAGACTTACCTAGACTGAAGGTAAACAAGTATCACATTCCCTGCTTGCAGGAAATCCATCAATAAACGCTTACCTAACCGCAGGGTGTTTGGACCCTGGATGGGAAAATTGTTCATCAAGGAGAATAATAATCACATTGCCATGCTGCTAAAAATACCACTTCTCTGCTGTGGTGCAAAGAGTCCAGACTGCAGGTCAGCAAGACTCAGGTTGGATTCTAACTCTGCCCCCAACTTGCTGTGACCTGCGGCCCATCTCTTCCCTTCTCTGGGCTTTAATTTCCTCATATGTAAAAATAAAGAGAGCCTGGAGATCAGCAAATTCTCTAAAGTCCATTCCTGTGTGGATATTCTGAGTATACAATCGATAGCTCTCCCAGTCCAAAGCAGGAACACACCAGAAACCATTGCAAAGCACGTAAGATGCGCCCCGGGCCAACAAACAAGAACGATTTGAAGAAGTCGTTTTGTTACAATATCTTTCAAGGTTTAATCGGTGTTTTTGTTTGTTGTTTGCAGCCTTACCATGAATTGCGGGAGATTTCTGAGTCCCATGTAAACAGAAGTTAACTGTCTGTGGGCTGTCATCATCTTCTGAGAAAGAAGAGGGTCTTCCCGCCTGGTTTCAAGTCTCCGGAATCAGAAACCACCAACGCTGCGGCGAGTTCACGAATTTGCGCACACTGCACGGCACACTGGAGTCTTAAGTTACAGAGGCACAGGTGTGGGGAATGCTGGGATTTGTAGTCCCCCGACTCCTTTGTGGTGCGCTGGGATCTGTGGTCCCATGTTAGCCCCACTGGAATGCTGGGAAATGTAGTCTCTGCCACATCGCCCAGTGCGACCCGCCGTCGTCTCGGACGGCTCGTGTGCCCAGCAGTGGGAGCAGGCCCCTTGAGCCTCTGCAGATCTCAAGGCAGCCTTCCGCTGGGGCAAACTCTAGGCAACAACACGAAATAAAAATTTTGTCCTAGGGGACTTCCCGGGGAGGGGCCTTCCCATTGACGCTCCCTGGCCCTTGCGAAGCCGCTAGGCGTTTCTATTGGCTGGTCAGGATGCCAATCGCTGGGACGCGCTTTCCATTGGCTGAGGGGCGGGCACTCCGAGACTAGGGGAAGGAGAAGGGATCAGGAGCGGGAGCTGAGGGGAGGGCTCCGGGTCTGGCCGCTGCCGCTGCTCGCCTGAGGTTTGCAGGCCGGGCTGCGGCTCCGTCCTCA